GGAGAAACACCAAATGTCCTCACAGAAGATATGTTGTCAAGAAGAGGTCCACAACAGGAGAAACACCAAATGTCCTCACAGAAGATATGTTGTCAAGAAGAGGTCCACAACAGGAGAAACACCAAATGTCCTCACAGAAGATATGTTGTCAAGAAGAGGTTGTCCAAAACAGGAGAAACACCAAATGTCCTCACAGAAGATATGTTGTCAAGAAGAGGTCCAAAACAGGAGAAACACCAAATGTCCTCACAGAAGATATGTTGTCAAGAAGAGGTCCAAACAGGAGAAACACCAAATGTCCTCACAGAAGATATGTTGTCAAGAAGAGGTCCAAATGTCCTCACAGAAGATATGTTGTCAAGAAGACAACCAAATGTCCTCACAGAAGATATGTTGTCAAGAAGAGGTCCACAAAGGAGAAACACCAAATGTCCTCAAGAGGTCCAAAACAGGAGAAACACCAAATGTCCTCACAGAAGATATGTTGTCAAGAAGAGGTCCACAACAGGAGAAACACCAAATGTCCTCACAGAAGATATGTTGTCAAGAAGAGGTCCAAACAGGAGAAACACCAAATGTCCTCACAGAAGATATGTTGTCAAGAAGAGGTCCACAACAGGAGAAACACCAAATGTCCTCACAGAAGATATGTTGTCAAGAAGAGATTGTCCAAAACAGGAGAAACACCAAATGTCCTCACAGAAGATATGTTGTCAAGAAGAGATTGTCCAAAACAGGAGAAACACCAAATGTCCTCACAGAAGATATGTTGTCAAGAAGAGATTGTCCAAAACAGGAGAAACACCAAATGTCCTCACAGAAGATATGTTGTCAAGAAGAGAAACACCAAATGTCACAGAAGAACAGAAGAGAAAGGAGAAACACCAAATGTCCTCACAGAAGATATGTTGTCAAGAAGAGTTGTCCAAAACAGGAGTCCAAAACAGGAGAAACACCAAATGTCCTCACAGAAGATATGTTGTCAAGAAGATGTCCAAAACATGAGAAACACCAAATGTCCTCACAGAAGATATGTTGTCAAGAAGAGGTCCAAAACAGGAGAAACACCAAATGTCCTCACAGAAGATATGTTGTCAAGAAGAGGTTGTCCAAAACAGGAGAAACACCAAAAACAGGAGAAAACCAAATGTCCTCACAGAAGATATGTTGTCAAATGTCCTCACAGAAGATCCAAAACAGGAGAAACACCAAATGTCCTCACAGAAGATATGTTGTCAAGAAGAGAAACACCAAATGTCCTCACAGAAGATATGTTGTCAAAACAGGAGAAACACCAAATGTCCTCACAGAAGATATGTTGTCAAGAAGAGGTCCAAAACAGGAGAAACACCAAATGTCCTCACAGAAGATATGTTGTCAAGAAGAGGTTGTCCAAAACAGGAGAAACACCAAATGTCCTCACAGAAGATATGTTGTCAAGAAGAGGTCCAAAACAGGAGAAACACCAAATGTCCTCACAGAAGATATGTTGTCAAGAAGAGGTTGTCCAAAACAGGAGAAACACCAAATGTCCTCACAGAAGATATGTTGTCAAGAAGAGGTCCACAACAGGAGAAACACCAAATGTCCTCACAGAAGATATGTTGTCAAGAAGAGATTGTCCACAACAGGAGAAACACCAAATGTCCTCACAGAAGATATGTTCCAAAACAGGAGAAACACCAAATGTCCTCACAGAAGATATGTTGTGTCCAAACAGGAGAAACACCAAATGTCCTCACAGAAGATTTGTTGTCAAGAAGAGGTTGTCCAAAACAGGAGAAACACCAAATGTCCTCACAGAAGATATGTTGTCAAGAAGAGGTTGTCTAAAACAGGAGAAACACCAAATGTCCTCACAGAAGATATGTTGTCAAGAAGAGGTTGTCCACAACAGGAGAAACACCAAATGTCCTCACAGAAGATATGTTGTCAAGAAGAGGTTGTCCAAAACAGGAGAAACACCAAATGTCCTCACAGAAGATATGTTGTCAAGAAGAGGTCCAAAACAGGAGAAACACCAAATGTCCTCACAGAAGATATGTTGTCAAGAAGAGGTCCAAAACAGGAGAAACACCAAATGTCCTCACAGAAGATATGTTGTCAAGAAGAGGTTGTCTAAAACAGGAGAAACACCAAATGTCCTCACAGAAGATATGTTGTCAAGAAGAGGTCCAAAACAGGAGAAACACCAAATGTCCTCACAGAAGATATGTTGTCAAGAAGAGATTGTCCAAAACAGGAGAAACACCAAATGTCCTCACAGAAGATATGTTGTCAAGAAGAGATTGACACCAAATGTCCTCCAAAACAGGTCCAAAACAGAAACACCAAATGTCCTCACAGAAGATATGTTGTCAAGAAGAGGTTGTCCAAAACAGGAGAAACACCAAATGTCCTCACAGAAGATATGTTGTCAAGAAGAGGTTGTCCAAAACAGGAGAAACACCAAATGTCCTCACAGAAGATATGTTGTCAAGAAGAGGTTGTCCAAAACAGGAGAAACACCAAATGTCCTCACAGAAGATATGTTGTCAAGAAGAGGTTGTCCAAAACAGGAGAAACACCAAATGTCCTCAGGAGAAACACCAAATGTCCTCACAGAAGATATGTTGTCAAGCAGAGTTGTCCAAAACAGGAGAAACACCAAATGTCCTCACAGAAGATATGTTGTCAAGAAGAGATTGTCCAAAACAGGAGAAACACCAAATGTCCTCACAGAAGATATGTTGTCAAGAAGAGATTGTCCAAAACAGGAGAAACACCAAATGTCCTCACAGAAGATATGTTGTCAAGAAGAGGTCCACAACAGGAGAAACACCAAATGTCCTCACAGAAGATATGTTGTCAAGAAGAGATCCAAAACAGGAGAAACACCAAATGTCCTCACCAAATGTCCTCACAGAAGATATGTTGTCAAGAAGAGGTTGTCCAAAACAGGAGAAACACCAAATGTCCTCACAGAAGATATGTTGTCAAGAAGAGGTCCAAAACAGGAGAAACACCAAATGTCCTCACAGAAGATATGTTGTCAAGAAGAGGTTGTCCAAAACAGGAGAAAACCAAATGTCCTCACAGAAGATATGTTGTCAAGAAGAGGTTGTCCAAAACAGGAGAAAACCAAATGTCCTCACAGAAGATATGTTGTCAAGAAGAGGTTGTCCAAAACAGGAGAAAACCAAATGTCCTCACAGAAGATATGTTGTCAAGAAGAGGTTGTCCAAAACAGGAGAAAACCAAATGTCCTCACAGAAGATATGTTGTCAAGAAGAGGTTGTCTAAAACAGGAGAAAAACCAAATGTCCTCACAGAAGATATGTTGTCAAGAAGAGGTCCACAACAGGAGAAAACCAAATGTCCTCACAGAAGATATGTTGTCAAGAAGAGATTGTCCACAACAGGAGAAAAACCAAATGTCCTCACAGAAGATATGTTGTCAAGAAGAGGTTGTCCACAACAGGAGAAACACCAAATGTCCTCACAGAAGATATGTTGTCAAGAAGAGGTCCAAAACAGGAGAAAACCAAATGTCCTCACAGAAGATATGTTGTCAAGAAGAGGTCCAAAACAGGAGAAAACCAAATGTCAGAAGATATGTTGTCAAGAAGAAAACAGGAGAAAAACCAAATGTCCTCACAGAAGATATGTTGTCAAGAAGAGATTGTCTAAAACAGGAGAAAAACCAAATGTCCTCACAGAAGATATGTTTCAAGAAGTCCAAAACAGGAGAAAAACCAAATGTCCTCACAGAAGATATGTTGTCAAGAAGAGATTGTCCAAAACAGGAGAAAACCAAATGTCCTCACAGAAGATATGTTGTCAAGAAGAGATTGTCTAAAACAGGAGAAAAACCAAATGTCCTCACAGAAGATATGTTGTCAAGAAGAGGTCCACAACAGGCAAAACCAAATGTCCTCACAGAAGATATGTTGTCAAGAAGAGATTGTCTAAAACAGGAGAAAAACCAAATGTCCTCACAGAAGATATGTTGTCAAGAAGATGTCCTCACAGAAGATATGTTGTCAAGAAGAGGTCCACAACAGGCAAAACCAAATGTCCTCACAGAAGATATGTTGTCAAGAAGAGATTGTCTAAAACAGGAGAAAAACCAAATGTCCTCACAGAAGATATGTTGTCAAGAAGAGATTGTCTAAAACAGGAGAAAAACCAAATGTCCTCACAGAAGATATGTTGTCAAGAAGAGGTCCACAACAGGCAAAACCAAATGTCCTCACAGAAGATATGTTGTCAAGAAGAGATTGTCTAAAACAGGAGAAACACCAAATGTCCTCACAGAAGATATGTTGTCAAGAAGAGGTTGTCTAAAACAGGAGAAAACCAAATGTCCTCACAGAAGATATGTTGTCAAGAAGAGGCAAAATGTCCTCACAGAAGATATGTTGTCAAGAAGAGATTGTCTAAAACAGGAGAAACACCATATGTTGTCAAGAAGAGATTGTCTAAAACAGGAGAAACACCATATGTTGTCAAGAAGAGATTGTCTAAAACAGGAGAAACACCAAATGTCTTTACAGAAGAAATGTTCTCCTAGACAAAATATTGTCAAGAAGAAGTTGTTCAATACTAGTCATAAGCCACCTGGAGCTTTTTGAAAACCCACGATCAACTCCACCTTCCAGGCAAACAGCACCACAATGAGTTGGAAACAGCACCAACGAAAGTGACCCAAGAACCTTGATGAAGTGACATCAGTCCAGTTTGCCAAATGAAATGTTTTCTGTTCATGCACTGATACGACCTTGCAAACAACATCTGTATCACATGGGTGAAGTGATATTAACAGAAACAAAAGTGTAATAACTCTGTGTACTCCCATCATTATAACAAGTAAAATAGAACCAATGCTGACCGACAAAGGTTTGAACAACTGATCTTGGATTCTTTGATTAATAGATCCTGGTATCCTGTTGTAAAACTATGAATCACTCAAGTTCTAGGGGTGTATACCTGTCTCAAGTAGTAACAACATCAACTCAAACTTGTGTTTATGAAGTGTGAGATTTATTGTATACAAATATATCATAAATTTGCTAAAGGCACTAAACAGTATATTGTAGAGTGTAAACAAAGAGGGTCGGGGTTCACCAAACATTTTTTATACATGCCCTTAACATATTACACAGGCAGCTAATTGCACTTAAATATAGCAAAATATAAAATATTTAGGATAGATAAAAATCAGCAATGTCAGTTATAGTGAAAAAAAATCAACAAATGTCACAAATATAATAAACACATGACTCCTTCATCCCAATATGTCATAAGTTTGACGATGTATCGATGGAAGTGGACAGTGAACTATTGACAGGATGGGTTAGAGGTAAATTTCATTGGTTACTGTGATGTAATCTCTCCATTGTACTTCTGGTATACTTATCATAATATGGAAATAAAGACTTAAAGAGTTTCAGATATACTCCTACAATAATAACAGGCTAATAACTGATGTCATACGACTTCATGCACCGTAAATATATTATCATGAAACTTCAGATAAAATACTGGTAAGAAGTTATCCTAGGTGGTTGTCATTGTGACATGAATGGCCCTGCCAGTAACAAATGAGCAAGCATGGGGCTTTTAAACATTCAAAAATTTGTGTGAGGTGTATTCATGATATTTCAAACTGTGTCAGGTGTAGATTGAATGAGACCGACAAATAAAGTTACTTGGTAATGAATAGCTGACCAGATGTAAACAATGTAACTAAACATAAAATTTCAGTTCAATATCTCCACCTAGCTCTGGGAATATAAAACTGATCATTGTCTCTTTAAATGTATTTCTTGAAATGTTCTCAACCCAAGGGCCATGACACTGGGGATAGTTGACTGTAAATACAAACTTGCCCTGCATTTCCTCATTACAAATAACAAATTTTATTTCAAAGTCAAAAGGTGTTCAAATAGTGACTGAGTGGTGACCAAGGTCATGACAATAAGCTGTGGCTATTTCAGGGTGGGACATAAAACGACGAACAATGGAGACTTCTGTAGCTATTTCAAACCTAGTAGCTACATACGGAGTTAAAAAAAATCTCTTTTTTTTTTCCCTTAAAAAAGGAAATTGTAATTTTTGAAGTGAAACTTATCCAATCAAATCACACTGTTAAGTACGGAGTGCAATACAAATATCCCTTAGTTCTCCGGTCATTACCAAACTGAGAGATGGAAGATAATATTGAAAAAGTTGACGGATGGGTATAGTATATTCCATAAAGCAATACAAATTGTAGATCTACAATTCAATATTGACAATGTGACCTGTAACAGATTGTAGAAACATATATTCTAAAATTACACCAGGTGTTGTCTTTTACATAACAGACCTTGCAGAAAATATTTTTCACTAGTTTTCCACATCCTCTAGAAAATAGACTTACCATTTACCAGTATACATCATAATAGGATTTAATTGTTCATTCCACACATATCTCATATTAAGTTACGAGGGACTTAAAAATCTTTAAAGTAGTCTCTTTACTTTATAATTTGGATTATGAACCCTTGTGTTAAAGAGAGTTATTTATTTACAAATCATATAAAGGATTATATTCTATTATAAAGTTGTCTGTATGGAAAGTTTGCTCCATTTAGTATCTTTTCTAATGATTAAGAATTGCTTGAACATCATCAATAGAACATATCCTTTACACTCATCAAGTTTGTTATCAAATCACCAAATTTCAAATTACATAATGTAGAATGGAAATCTTCTGGAAAGAGTACATAACAGTATAAGGTAGCATATATCCTTAATTAATGGAGTTAATACACGTCATCATCTACTCAAAAAGTCTTGTTTAAGATACATCTATGTAATCACTACATACAGTATAGTACTACAACATATGAGGAGTACACTGCACAGCAGAGTAGGTCCTTAAATTTATCAGAGTAAACCTACAACATGACTAGCTATGGCACAAGCAATACAATTAAAAGGTCTAACCAGCTGTCTTACTAGTCCTGTCTAAATTTAGCCCATAAATCTGAAATTACACAATTCTAGTTCTCTAAACCATCGTGCATTGTACTTCCATTATCAATTTGTAAGATACACTGTACATCCTTAATGGATTTTTCATCAGGCATGCTTCATTTCTACCCTCAAATAATTAAGTGATGAAAATTCTTAGGGAATCTTTGGTAATAATTGTAAAAAAAGATTAAGACTTTTATCTTTATTGACTGATACTTAAACAATGATAAAAAAAACATCATGTTATTTTCTGTACTGTAATAATTATGTTGTACAGTTAATCAATGTGTTGTTTGATAGAGAATGACAAACTATTAGCAACACATAGGTGATACTTGAGGAGTACACAGATGGTACTAGGGGAGTACACAGATAGTTTAAGGGGAGTACACATGTGGTACTAGGGGAGTACACAGGTGGTACTAGTGGAGTACACAGGTGGTACTAGGGGAGTACACAGGTGGTACTAGTGGAGTACACAGGTGGTACTAGGGGTGTACACAGGTGGTACTAGGGGAGTACACAGTTAGTACTAAGGGAGTACACAGGTGGTACTAGGGCAGTACACAGGTGGTACTAGGGGAGTACACAGGTGGTACTAGGGGAGTACACATGTGGTACTAGGGGAGTACACAGGTGGTACTAGGGGAGTACACATGTGGTACTAGGGGAGTACACAGATAGTTTAAGCGGAGTACACATGTGGTACTAGGGGAGTACACAGATAGTTTAAGGGGAGTACACATGTGGTACTAGGGGAGTACACAGTAGTACTAAGGGAGTACACAGGTGGTACTAAGGGAGTACACAGGGGGTACTAGGGGAGTACATAGATGGTACTAGGGGAGTACACAGGGGGTAATAGGGGAGTAAACAGATGGTACTAGTGGAGTACACAGGGGGTAATAGGGGAGTACACAGGGGGTAATAGGGGAGTACACAGATGGTACTAGTGGAGTACACAGGTGGTACTAGGGGAGTACATAGATGGTACCCATGGAGAGTACACAAATAGTATTAGGGGATCATAATTGTACAGATTATAACGATAAACAGATTGGTTTAATATAGCACCATGACATCATAAATAGGGCGTTCCAGGGACAACTATCTATACATCCTGTTATATACACTGGAACACAGCAAAATAAACATTAACACAGTGCTATAGAAGATACAGCAACAAAACAAACACTATGGTAACCAATGTAGTAAAATGTAGACATTGGAAAACATGAAAGGGAAAAATATATCAAATAAGACATTTTTTTGGTTCTGTAGAAACACCAAAACAAAATGCTTGAAAATGAAACATTTTCTAAACTATGAGGAGACAACAACAGACAAAAATTATTTCAATGCTAAGCGAGAATATGTACAGCTATTATTGAATCATAAGGAATAGCACAAACTGTATTTCTGGAAAATATTAAGAATTTCTGTTCCTGTTTAAAATCAATCACTCTTAAAAATGTCATGAAATAAGAATGATGATTTCAATTTGTGTCTGAAAGCATGGATATAGATGAGGAAACATGTGACATGACACACTTTAGTCCTAAATTTGAGATTCTCATATTGATTAAAATTGATTTTCATGAGAAAAAAAATCACTGTAATTTAGCTATTAATATAAAGATTATCAAAATTAATGCTCCACAGAATAAGAGACACACTGATGGCCGAGTATGTATAGAACAGTCCACCAACAAGTCGAGTGTATTTTGTACATTGCATAATATATCACTCTCCTTACAATATTTTAGATCAAATGATCATCCTTGTAGACAATGCCATGGCATTCACATGATAGGAACATGACATTAGGAAATGTATGATGACATGAAAAATTTGCATATCCCTCATGTTTTCCAATACGTTTAAAAATACACATACTCAATACATAAGCCATATATCAAATTTATTTGTAGTTCTTTAAGAATTCTCACAATTTGAACAGTAAGAACAATGAAAGTTTTTTTTTTTTTAATTAAATATCATTATTATGAAGATTTGGTTAACATTTAATTTGTTCTACATTTTTTCCCCCCATTTCATTTTCAGATATAATCATAACAGATATTTTGACAGTTTCTCACATATCCAAAGAGCTAACATAAAAAATGCCAGATAAAGACTGAAATATATATTTATGATTCATCGAAATCTAGAAAAATGAAAACCTTCTTGAGATTAAATTTCTACAACAAGTGATCCAACAGAACTGCAAATTAATTTGGTATGGCTTCGTAAGTCATAAAATACACATTTTTTTGTAAGGTTTTTGTTCAATACACACAGACATTCCTATAAAAAGCTAGAATAATCCACACATTCACGGACAACAGCCTGTACAAACACACTACCCCACCCCCAAATGTCATCACATGGCTTCATCTGTCCTATCATGGGTAACAGCTTTTTTAACCTCTCTTCATTGTTCAATGGAATATCCAGCCTGTTTGTTCCTAGTCTCTCTAGCCTATTACTTGTTTTCTGCCCTGTCGACAATTTTCACTCATGATGTATACCATGGCCTCTTCCTCAACCAGCGGATAGTATATCTGAAAAAAAACATGACAAAATCACCAACAGCCGCCTTCTCAGTCTGAACTTTGGGTAATAACTCTGTCTATAAAGTAATCCACAGTTTAGGACCGAATAATTTCAGTGACACACTGACAAAATCACCAATAGCCACCTTCTCAGTCTTTGGGTTATAGCTCTGTCTATAAAGTAACCCACAGTTTAGGACTGTATAATTTCAGTGACACAGTGATGTAAAAATAGTTTCTCACACGCACCTTTAGAGTCCCCTCTTGTAGTACCAGTGGTGATGTAATCAATAATCTTAGTTTCATGTCTGTGTAAAACATACACTGGAGTCATTCCTCACTAAGCATAACAGCCCATGCTTTTGTTAACTCACCTTGATTTAGTGAGACACTTACCCAGAATTCACCTTGATTAAGTGAGACACTTACCCAGAATTCACCTTGATTAAGTGAGACACTTACCCAGAATTCCCCTTGATTAAGTGGGACACTTTCCCAGAATTCACCTTGATTAAGTGAGACACTTAAGCAGAATTCACCTTAATTTAGTGAGACACTTACCCAGAATTCACCTTGATTTAGTGAGACACTTAACCAGAATTCACCTTGATTTAGTGAGACACTTACCCAGAATTCACCTTGATTTAGTGAGACACTTACCCAGAATTCACCTTGATTAAGTGAGACACTTACCCAGAATTCACCTTGATTAAGTGAGACACTTACCCAGAATTCACCTTGATTTAGTGAGACACTTAACCAGAATTCACCTTGATTTAGTCAGACACTTACCCAGAATTCACCACGATTTAGTCAGACACTTACCCAGAATTCACCTTGATTTAGTTAGAAACTTACCCAGAATTCACCTTGATTTAGTGAGACACTTACCCAGAATTGACCAAGATTTAGTGAGGCAGTTAATCAGAATTCACCTTTGATTTAGTGAGACCCAGAATCTACTGTGATAAAGTGAAACACTTAACCCAGAATTCACCTTGTTTTATTCAGACAATCACCAATTACCCAGAATTCACCTTGTTTTATTTAGAGACAATCACCAAGAATTTACTCAATTTTGCAGGACACCTTCCAAGAATTCACCATGATTTAGTGAGACAGTTAATCAGAATTCACCTTTGATTTAGTGAAACACTTACCCAGAATCCACTCTGATTTAGTGAGACACTTACCCAGAATCCACTCTGATTTTAATGGAAGCAGCCTCAGCAGCCCTCACAGTTTCCTTGACAGCCTGCATGAGATTCTGGGCATTACCAACTAACATCTCAGTAGCTTCCTGATCTTCTTCAGAACCTGTGATAGGTCAGAATTTCAGGCCAAAGGTCATGTTCGGACAATTGGTGGATATAAAAATACAAATTAGCATTCACTAAGCAATGCCATAAAATTTTCTTGAAAATCAACATGTCTGCATTGAAAATCTAAAAGCAAAGTAGACCAAAGATTATATATATCAATGGTAACTACATTGCTGAAATGGGCTAATTCAACTACAGTAGATTACACAGACTGAAACTACATGGGAATTACATATCTCATTATCATACATGTTGTTTCTTGTCAAATACAAAAAAAGTTTCCATTCTAGTTTTTGACCTATTTCTGTTTTTCACAGACACTACTTTATCAGTGTTGATAGTAGACAAGCGCATCCATTATATGTTATGATAATGTTAAAATGTTAGTGAAGCAATTAAACATTACATGTCACACACAAGCACAGATTGGTTAGCCAGTGTTTGAGATTGGTAATGAAATAATCAACTGACTGTCATCATTATTATTCCATTTTATTAAAATTCTTTTCCTTAAAAAAAAAAATAATAAATAAATAAATAAAAAACCTTATGAAGACTGCTAACACTGAAAGCTTTCTAAAATGAAAAATGAGTAGTCGCCATTTCAGTAGTCGCCATTTCAGTAGTCTGGGAACTTGAGTAAAGCAGACATTGAATTCAGCCAGAGAGCTATAATAGAACCAGTGTCTGGATATGTTCTCGTTATAAATCATACTGAATGACTTTCACAACTTACAACATCAACGAGTCAAATTAGAACAAAAGAAACATTTTTCAGCAAGTCAGGAATGAGAAGCACTATTTCCAATGGTAGAGCTTTACCATGAGGCCCATAAGGCCTGTATCGCTCACATGTATCTTAAAGCCAAGCAATGGTATACAAGTACATGCCTATAGATTGGGTATTTCGAATATTTCCAAATTAAAGCCCAGTCACTTTACCTCTTTAACAAGACAAGACCAATGGGTAAATTCTTATATCATGACTGTCTTTCTTTTTTGATTTCCAGTGAGAGTCTATATTGTTATCGGGTTGTTATCTGAAGTATGCCAAATATATGACTCAGAAATAATATCTCTTGAGGTGTGCTACAACCAAGCGTAAATTCCTACATAATCCATGTGTTTATCTCTTGATGCCAAGCAATGGTTATGGGGTGGGGATTTCAAATGATATAACCCAGAATCTAAGTCCCTAGGGGTTGGGCACATTCCAGGGCCAATTTCTACATCATGATTGTGTTTATCACTTGATGCCTAGCAATGGTTATGGGGTGGGGATTACAACTGATATAACCCAGAATCTAAGTCCCTAGGGGTGGGGCACATTCCAGGGTCTATTTCTACATCATGATTGTGTTTATCTCTTGATGCTGAGCGTTGCTGTATATTTGTATGTGGTTATGGGGTGGGGATCTCAACTATTTCAAATCATTTACCCTAGTGAGCCCCTTCCCTCCTGCTCTTGAGGGCCAAGACCAGCCACTACTTATACAAAACTGATTTTCCTTTACCCAAACATCCTTCTCACCATATTTGGATGAAATTCAATCATTCCTACAGGATTTTAAATAAGTTGCTCTATTTCCCCTACTAGGCCCTGTACCTTTTGCCCCAGGGCATCAACATCCATAATTCATACAAAGTCTTTCCCCTTCACCCAACCATGCTTCTGACCAAATTTGGACAAAATCCAATCATTCCTTCAGGAGGAATAAGATATTAAAAGTTTTAATCTTTTGCTACAAGATTTCCTACAGATGAGTTGTATTGTAAGGAACTTGCTAAATTTGGTCAAGTTCTGCCAAATGGTTTGTGAAAAGTAGTAATGTAGAGGAAAAGTTGACAGACAGAGAGATGCCAGACAATGTTTTATCCCAATAGCTCACTCCCTTTGGGCCAGGTGAGCTAAAAAATTTCTTTAGACAGAGTAGTTTTAGCCTTTCAATAAAATATCGTGTGATGACACATCATAAATGAAAACACATTCAATTAACAATATTCTGACATCAAAACTTGTCAGTGAATTATGTGAGTTAAATAAAGATAAGTATGAACTAGGTACAGTCATTAGATATTTCATTTGCACACTCAAAAACTGGAAAACTGTAACGGAGAAGTCATTTATTTCAGACCTGTAATAAACTGTCCAGATCTCTTAAAACTTACTCCTATACAAATATAGAACTTCATTGTATGACACATTAGAAAGCGTTAATGCACTTACTAGATTCTGTTTCCATGGCAACAGCACGCAGAAATAGCAGGAAAAAAATCAAGATGCAGGTGGGTTAGAAATGATCATGAAGGTTATACACAGCACACATGTAAGGCACACATTTACAGCACTACAAATGGACACTGTTCTAAAAGCACAATTTAGGAAGCTTGAGTGATATCCAGTAAACTTGCCAACTTTGTTTATGAAGGATAATCTCAATTCTGTATTCCTCTCAGAAATTGTAGGATTCTCCCAAATTTTTGTACTGCCCTATAGATTTTCCAATTGCCAGTGAATCTGGAATCTGCTGGTATTCAGCATTCTACTGAATCTAAAGTGCACTCAATTTTAGACATATATTATCAGTTTATCTTCTAAACTCTTCTTAATTTCTAGATAACAAAATACACTTTTCTGATCAGGATTTCAAGTTATAAATAAAAGAAATCTTGTCTATGGTAAAACAATCAGCTGGCAAGTACGATTAATTTATACCAATGAAATGAAATTTGCTGAAAATTTACATATTTTAATGCACCTTTAATATCATCTACACAGCAACCATATGTCCATATCAGATATTAAATCACCACCAAGCCATTTGATTTGTGAATATGTCATTTATAATGCTTTATAAGAAGCAGAATATAACTTGAGTTTGATCAGCAGAAGTTGTCAAAAGCATTGACGTATACAGATATATGACAAATGCTTCCAAGAAGTATTATTTCTACCAGACTGAAACTTTTAAAATTTTAATCTGCTCTTGTCTCAAAAGTTATAAATAAAGATTACTGTGTATGATCAAGGGGTATAGATTGGCTTACTACCAGAGCACTACTTCAGGATAATGATTTGTAACCAATCATTTCGTATTACAGTTGGATGGTATAATTTCAAGAGTTGCTCTGTCTAACAGTTTAGTTACATTAAATTGTTGGAAGCAGTTGTCACTAGTTAGTAAAGATCTTATGTAGTTCTTCTATACATGACAGACAAATATATATCTCAGTGCATACAGGTATAGAAAGTGACCACTGCTGGTCTGATAATAAAACTGACCAATAGTTTGATGGTTAAATATATAGAAAATGACCACTGCTGGTCTGATAGTAAAACTGACCAATAGTTTGATGGTTAAATATATAGAAAATGACCACTGCTGGTCTGATAGTAAAACTGACCTATAGTTTGATGGTTAAATATATAGAAAGTGACCACTACTGGTCTGATAGTAAAACTGACCGATAGTTTGATGGTTAAATACATAGAAACTGACCACTGCTGGTCTGATAATAAAACTGACCAATAGTTTGATGGTTAAATACATAGAAACTGACCACTACTGGTCTGATAGTAAAACTGACCAATAGTTTGATGGTTAAATATATAGAAAATGACCAATGACCTGATGACTACATAGTTACATGGCTGGATCATCATTACCAAGAAAACATAGACTTATGGCAAAGTGTGAATTTATAAGGAAACTCAACACAGGTCTAGTGATGAAATGGATTAGATTTAAGGAGCTAGCAGCTGATCCTACTGGTAGTATCCAGTGGTACCTATACATATATCATCACAATGGAGTGTAATGATGTACTGAACAGCCAAGACACTCCAACAAGATAAAATATATACAAATTAACTCTGTTTAATGTGATTCTGTTATTGTCATCTTTCTGTTTATATCATATTTCCCAGTGACGTTAGATACTGGAATACATGGTAGTGTACCTCTTTTCCTTCTTTTTCTAATGAGAACTGAAAATAATATCATCCTCTTGTAAAAGAGATTAAAACTAATTGATTGGGCATAAAATGCCCTGTTTGAAGAATGGAATGTCACAAATATAAATTATGATCAATGCTGACACAAATGCTACCATAGTAGAATAAAGGGGGGTTTGGAATAATTCAGTTAAAAATCCTAGGAAAGAAAATAATTCATGGTAAATCATGGAATTACAAATCTAATATACCAAACAAATGTTATTCAGAAGTTCACATAAGAACTGTGGACAGGACAGAAGAAAGATCAATCCAGAACTATGTCTACAAGAGATCCCCGACGGGTCTTGGCACGCACCATTGTTTAATCTTTATTTGCTCTTTGAAAGTTGGACCTTTTCCCTTCTTAATGACAAGAAATTTGAACATGCCTTTGAAAAAATAGGACTAAAAGGAACCTATACATGAAATTTAAGGAAGATTTATACAGTATTTCTCAAGAAATAGCGATAATAAACATTCAAAGTCAAAATCCAAGATGGCTACCTGGTGGCCATTTTCTTTTTCTGAGCAGGATGACAAACCACGGATGCAAGGTGATTTGAATAGCTCACCATCTGATGATGGTGGAACAAAGTTACACAATTAAATCATTCAAAATGAAACACTCGGATGAGGAAGCAGAAAAAACACAAGCATGATGCACTAGTCTACAATTTTGTAACAAGCATGATGCACTAATGAATACAAAGTAATTATTTTACATCAATGACAAATCAATTGCTATATGCAAACCTGAACAATCTGTAGCATCATGGATTAATATTACAACTGTGAATTCCATTTGAAATCAAGTTTACTCAAAGTTTCACAAAAAAAAAAAATCTAACTCAAATCAAGTAATCAAGATATCACAACAAGTATTCTAACTAAAATCATGACTTCTCAAAACTAACATCAACCTCTGTCAAAAACACTGATGCATGGAATACCATCAAACATTTCATTTATCATACAATGACATCAAGTGATGGAAATCTTGGATTTGAGTCGAGTAATTAAGCACTGTCAAGATACTTCTATTACTTTATATTTTTTTTTCGTAAGAATTTGTTTCTCAAGCTTTCATTTTTTTCAAGTCTTATTGACAGAAATTTTGGTATCTAAAATTAAACATTTGACAATTAATGTTAATTATTGTTTGAATTTAATCGAATTAGTACCAAAAGAAAAGAATATATACTTAATGTATATTTGTATAGATGGTTTTTCATTAAATATTGAAAAAGTCTGAACATTTTTTTCCTTTCTTTATCAGATATGAAAAACAACTGAAAGCCTTAATTTGGCTTTGAAAAGTTTGGAACATAAATTTTGCCTTGAATTAATCACACTGCATCAACCAAGATGGAGTCATCATTTGATATCATGGATTCTCTGCACACAAACCACACATCTGTCGGTCAGTTGGTCAGTTTGGTTACTGTTCTAGGGAGGGGGTAGTTTTATGTGTGGTTTCGTTAGTGACCTCCTTGAATTTGGAGGGTGTGGAAAGTTCATGCTTAAGATAATCAAGTTTACCACAGGCTATCTCGCTGCCATCAGGAGCTGGTATGGGTTCTATGTTAAAATGTTTATAAATAAATTGTTTTCACTCTTCAACAAAGACTTACTATTAAAAAGTTTTCAAGAAACAAGTTCAACATATATCTAAATCTTAGCTATAACAAACAGATTCTGTATGTAGATCTAAACCAAGAGAAACAGATTCTGTATGTAGATTTAAACCAAGAGAAAAAGGTTCTGTATGTATATCTAAACCAAGAGAAACAGGTTCTGTATGTAGATCTAAACCAAGAGAAACAGATTCTGTATGTATATCTAAACCAAGAGAAACAGGTTCTGTATGTAGATCTAAACCAAGATAAACAGATTCTGTATGTAGATCTAAACCAAGATAAACAGATTCTGTATGTAGATCTAAACCAAGATAAACAGGTTCTGTATGTAGATCTAAACCAAGATATTTAGATCTAAACCAAGATAAACAGATTCTGTATGTAGATCTAAACCAAGATAAACAGATTCTGTATGTAGATCTAAACCAAGATAAACAGATTCTGTATGTAGATCTAAACCAAGAGAAACAGGTTCTGTATGTAGATCTAAACCAAGATAAACAGATTCTGTATGTAGATCTAAACCAAGAGAAACAGATTCTGTATGTATATCTAAACCAAGAGAAACAGGTTCTGTATGTAGATCTAAACCAAGATAAACAGATTCTGTATGTAGATCTAAACCAAGATAAACAGATTCTGTATGTAGATCTAAACCAAGATAAACAGGTTCTGTATGTAGATCTAAACCAAGATAAACAGATTCTGTATGTAGATCTAAACCAAGATAAACAGATTCTGTATGTAGATCTAAACCAAGATAAACAGATTCTGTATGTAGATCTAAACCAAGAGAAACAGGTTCTGTATGTAAATTCTGGTAATAGATTTGAAATGTTTTACCTCTTTTCACTATAAGGTTTCTAAACCTGTCATATTAAAATGAATTTGCTAATCAAATGATATCAGGTATTTCTATAGATTGAGCGACCTTCCTGATTTTTAACCTTTCTATTTTGAGATTTAATTGTTTACAACATTATTTATCAATGCAATACTGTTCTGAATACAGTGTATAAGTCTGTAATATCTACAATTAATGAAAATAAGAACGTTAACACAAATACTTGTACATAAATATCACAATTTACCAGTAGTAAATAAATCAAAGAAACATTATTTTTTCCCTGACCGACTATTAACAGAAACTTTGGATAATTTCTAATATTAAGATGAGGTGGTATAAAAATATTTCAGTAATTACCGACTCCCACACTCTAAAAGTTTTCATTCAGAGCCTAGCTATAACATCATATAATATTTGATAATTTTATGAACTGACCTTGAGCACCTAACATAGTAGCTTTGACTGTAGATAAGATCTTCAGCTGTGTACCAATAGTTGGGATACGTTCACACACTTGCAACAAATTCTGAAATACAAAGATTTTATAAATACATCTAATAACAAAGTCTGTTTTCTTTATCTAATATGTCTTACTCAAGAGGCCAAAAGAACCTGCATGATTCACCTGGATATCAAAGTAAAGATTGTTGGTCACATGAATATTACATTTACTTCACAACCCTATGGTTTAAATCCTGTTCGCAGTACCAGGTAAACAATATTTTCCCTTTACAATACAATCTGCGTTGTTTACATCTGTTGAGATTCCAACAAAAATTAATTTTAAAGTCTGTTTTATTATCATATTACATGTACTGATTATCTTTAAATGTATTATCACAAATGATATTTCACAGGTTTTTAAGTATTGACCTGATCTGATTCTACATTATGATAAGGTACCATACAGCCTTAAGACATTTTAATTATATCTGACAAGTCAGACATCCTTCTTACTGTTCTCATCTTTTTGTCGGTACATTCTGCTGCTAGTTTCTTGGCGAGCCTTGTTACTTCCTCAGATGCCTCTGCAATTTTCTTGGCTGTAGAGATCAGGTCTTTCTTGGTGCCACCCTCACCTCTGGAATCAATGCATTGTTCAATCTTTATGGTTGTTAAGTGTTTGGTAAATGCTCAATAAATGTTACTGAAGGGGATATCCTACACAAGGATACCCATGTTATAGCTAGTTGTAATTACAGATACAAATTGAAACACTTTTCTACTCATCTCTCTCAATGCTACACATTTCTCTGTCACAGTAGCCTACCTGACCAGTTGACTGAGTTTGGCCATCAGGATAGCCATTCGCTTGGCCGCACCAATGATCTCGTTGTCTTTACTTGACCACTGCTTTGTCTCCATGTGTAAGGCATGAGCAGCCATCTACAACATAAAACACTAAATGCTATTTTACTTTTTCAAGTCCAAACAAAAGTCAAAACTCTGCAGTATAATCAATGATTGTTTTTCAGGTTTCTCCTTCTATATCACTGCTGTCAGTGTTTTATGAGATCCTGAATCAGGTGCGAATGACCATTATAGTACATAACCTATGGTCTTAATAACAACAAGAGGCCCATGGGCCTGAACGTTCACTTGAGGTCACCTCATGGTTATTGAAGAGAATTTGTTCAAAAGAATTTCATGCATTTGACACCTATGAACTTAAATGAAGGTCATTCATTTGAACAAACTTAGTTACTCTTCATTCCGACATGTTGCAGAGCAAATAATATCAAGTCCCAGGACCTCTTGGTAATTGAGAAAATGTTGAATTTTAGCATATTTGACCCCTATGATCCTGAAAATAGATCAAGGTCATTCATTTGCACAAACTTGGTAGCCCTTCATCCCAGCATATTACTGGCCCTATATCAAGATTCTGGACCATCTGGTAATCGAGAAGAAGTTGTTTTTAAGATTTTAACACATTTGACCCCTGTGACCTTGAAAACATGGATCCCTTCGTTCCAGCAGGTTACTGGCCCAATAGTATGACACTGGACCATTTGGTTATTGAGAAATTGAAAATGTCAATTGCTTATGATGCACAGGGGACAACATTGGAACACTGCTAATATGATGGAGATTCTAGTACTTCTCGTACCTGTACCTAAGTTTCCACACCAAAAAGTAACAGAAGTATTGAAGGCTCTTTTTGATTAATTTTTGTAAAATCATGTAGATGTTACACTACATTACCATGATAGGCTGGTTTGCCTGAGGCACTGAAGGAAAGATCATATCTTCCTCGTCATCTGTATCTGGAGGAGGAGGTCTTGGAGGTGTTGAGTCTGTCGGCAGTGGTGGGCGTGGTGGGGCTCCATCTGCAGGCAAAATCATCAGTAAATAGCCTACACATACAATGTCTTTTTACACAAATTATGCAATATTCACAGTGTAACTCTCATTCCTACAAAACAACAAATAATTAATTTATAAAGAAAAAAAAGTACACTAATCATTATCAAAAGAGCGTGAGAAATTACATATCTGAAGAGAAGAACTTAAGTAAGATTTTGTAGAATTGTAATAAGATTCACATTAAGGAAGATAAATTATATAAAGAAATAAGTGTACTACATCACAAGAAGTTATACCACTTAGTGTTTTCAATAGCCAGTGAGAAGAAATATGAAAACTCTGAAGTACAATGACATAAAAATACAGTCACATTGATGATAAATATCCAGAAATCAAAAATGCATCATGCACAAGTGAACATTTAATTTACACTTCACGGATGCATATTGATGGTGTGATTTTGTGTAATACAGGATAAAAGTGTTTCAACTTAAAGATGTAGACATGCATGATCATCAAAACATATCAATCATTTTTACATTTATCTCCCCTTTTCCCAAAACAGATCTATTCCTTGCTTACTAGAAATATACATAATACACCAACTGCACATGTATCAACCTCTGATCCTGTTATGTTAAATTTGGAAAGGAATATGGACATTTAATAAGGCAATGGAACCAAAAGGCCTTGATCCACATTCTCAATCTTGTTAGGGATGTGTTTAAGTCCAGTATGATTTCACTGAGGGCATTACAAGTAATGGGATAATGAAGCCTTTTTTCAAAAACACTTTCATTCAAAGTTAAATCATATGCTTCTACTGATAGAGAAGATATATTCCAATAATATTTTTCTGGTACTTATTGAATAATTTATCTAAAAAATGGCTGATCAAAAACAAGAGAATTATCCTTAATTAATAAAACATCATGTTTCTGTACGTACTTTATTTCTCCTTCCATTACAGTAGCTTACTTGTGATGAAAAATCAAGGTTAATGAGAAGCTTTAGTACTATAGGCGGTAAGCATTATGTAATATGTACAATAAAAATTGTGTAAATTCTGATAAAAGTTTTTCTTTAAATATGTGAGGCGCTGAATTAATCTTGTTAATTAATATGAATTATAAGAGATATATCGGATACAAATTCTTGGTTTGTACATTGTAAAGCTCCAAATTAAAGGAGAATAAAACATAAAAAAATGTGACTGATTCTGTGTAATAAAGAAACAGTATATAATTTGTGTGAAGTAAAAAAATATACCGGGAATAGTATTACATATGATGTACACAAAGATAAAATCTTGTGTTAGATGATGAAGCACTATTGTATCACCTGGGAAACACAGGTAACCACTTCTCATGTAAGGGGAAGTGTTACTCCTATCTATGGGGAAAGCACCTGCAAATATAGAGTACCATACAAAACAGTGTCGCTAACAGTGTTTGGTCAAGGTCTCTCATGAGACTACTGTAAGGATTTATAAATACTCTAACAAAGGGCTCTTTTAATTTTCCTTGATTTTCTAAAGAATAACCAAACATGTTTTGAAAATGTATACAAACTATAACTATATCACCTGAGAATTTTCAAATGTGTGGCAAAGCTTAATATACAAAAGGACTTTTTATGAACTTACATACATAATTATCAATAATTTCCTGAATTACATCTTTAATAATCCTGGCAATAAACTGTTCTGTATTCCCCCACCACCAATCAAAATACATCATTATCAAACTGCCCACTCTGATGAACAACATACATCTCCTTAAATTTCAAATAAGTCTCTCATTGGACAGAAAATCAAGGGCAGACCCTCCAGGTGCTTATCATTGTTATGTGTCAATATCTGGACAGTATTACAGAACTGTCCCAGGGATTTTCCCGTTGGGATTTTGGTGGTAATGATTTTGAGATTCTATCCTTACACGTTAAACTGGAGCAGTGTGATTGTGTAAAGCAAATACAGAGTGTGGGATGGTTGGCAGTGAAATGATGCTTATGGGTGGGTAAAAGATCAAGATTTAAAAAAAAATCAAAATTCTCTCCCATTTGTAAATTTCCCAATTTGTAAAATGTCCTGACCAAACACAAAGATTCATAGTTTAAAGACATGGAATTCTATTGGATTAAAGGAAAATCCCTGTCTTCCTTGCGTTTGTACAGAAGCTATTTCCTATGGATACACAGGCACTCTAGATTACATGGAGGTATATACTGGTGGGACATTGCTCCCACAGTGCTTTTTGTCACCTGGGTGGAAGATGAGGGCGTTAAGGACATCAGGGGACCTGTCAGAACGCTCAATAGGATAAACACCTGAAAAGGAGTCATATTTATCCCTCAGTTATACCTAGCTGTCAAAGTTACCTCCCCTGAATTATCGCTGTAAGTGTCAGCTTATTTTTCTGATCATCCTTATTCTTCAATCTATCAGCAAACTTCTGTTTCTGAATTACATTTTTGTTTAAACATTTATCCAATTTATTGACATCCAATCACTCACTGCCTTCTCCTTGTCCAGAAACTTTTCTCATTTTTTTTAAAAATGAATTTAACTACCTCCCTTTGAACATCAGTAAGTCTTAAAAACTTAATTACAGAAACAAATTCACCAGTACAGCTTTATTTCTGTATTTTTAAACAAGAGAAAAAATAAGTATCATGATATCATAAAGATATAAGTAAAAATATACCAGGAATATAGATGGGAAAAGTTTTTTTATATATATCTAAGAATTTAAGGAAAATATTTAACTTTAATTAATGATATAAAATTCAAGATTTAGTAAAATAAGAATTATATATTTTCAGAGATATTATTTGGAAGATGACAAGATTAAGCCCTAGCATTGGATCAAGTGTAACAAAGGATTGGGAGGGTAATGATTGGACAGTGCTCTTCACCAATCAACAGTGAGATACAAAACATTATTAGGTGCATCAGGGTCACCTGATCTGCTGTTTGGAGATGCGGCCGATCTGTTGGCCAGCGCTTTACGAAGTTCTGAAACATGCATATACTATAATGTAAACATTAGCACTGAAAAAACATCAACTTTAAACTACAAACTACATTCAGCATCAGTACCCATTCACATCTGAAACAGGAGAACCAAGAAGATATTAAAACAAGATGTGTTTTGGTCTCTCTACTTTTGGTAAATGGCAGGCATTCATTATTATGCTGACATTAACATTTTGATTAAAACAAAAACATTTGCATGCATTATGTATATCACTGACATATAGTCATTAAATTTTATCATTTACATTACGAGCCTATTATAAGGAACAGACTTCAGGTTTTGTAGCATTTGGTAAAGAAATATCATAATATCAGCATAATCCATGAGTCAGGAATTACAATGATGTTGTACATGTCTTCATGCTTGTATGCTGATGCTGCATTCTCTCAAGCTTGCAAAACAATATTCAAGGATTATATTCATAACATCAGCTCTCATAGCTCCTAGCATAGATGTCTTCATCAAGATGTCTTTTACACTATGTAATTTCATATTGTCTTCTGATCTGAGCATTTCAGGGATTTCAACAATATCACCTGGTATCAGTGTATTTCTAAATTACTTATGATAATACTTTAACCTCAGTTTGAGCTTAAGAACAATGTAATGAATACAGTCCTGGGTATAACTTAATCAGAGGACAATGTGCTGCATGCTTTCTGTGAAACCAAACAAAAATGCAAATAGATGAAGAAGATGTTGTACTGAGGTGAAAAGTTTGGAAATGAATTTCATGTAGATGTACAGAACTAAGAAAATCTCCAGAACAAATCTCTAAAGCATAAAACAACACAGAATTCTGGGAAATATTAAAAACATGGAGGTTTTCAACTGTTCAATTTACAGACAGGCAGACAGGATTAAGAAAGAAAAACATGGAAAGGATGGAAATCATTGAAAGAAAAGAAACAGAGAAGGTTAAAGAGCTTTCCTAAGATTGACAGAAGTATAGGTACGACAGAGTATTTCCAGAAACACTGGTGTGGTGACAACGGAATGCTAGACTCCCAACACCTGGCTTCAATACAAGGAAGTCTAAACCATTGCCCAACTATTTAACATCTACATCTCATATAACAAACTTAACAGTCAGACACCTCCAAACACACTGGTCATTACTTTAATGTAGATATAATATTAGGGCAGTTGATGAATATACGAGGAATCAATTTATAGAAATATTACACAGGGAACTATGTAGAATCTAGTATATCTATTCTTACAGTTATTGTAGAATCAAATGATGTCTAGATCATTAAATATCTACATTTGGGCATGAAAAAAGACACTTCAGACTTTGATGATTGGGATTATGTTCCACAACACAGATCCTTTCTTAGATGGATTTTTTTTGTTTTGGTTCAACATCTTATCTTCAGTAAAATTGAGAAAAAGAAATACATGATTAAGTATACAGAATCAAGAAGTACTACCTAAAATCTATGGTAGTTAAGAATAGATTGACTAGCCAGAGAAGGAATGGTTCATATAAAGTTTCATCAAACCTTTAACATCTCTAACAAAATGGGCAAAACAAAACATTTCATGTTGATAACAAAACTTTTTGTAATTGACAAGACTACAGACTGTTTTGTATGTTTGGAGAGATCTGACACTTTCATCAACCAGGCAAACATGGGGTACGACGCTGTATTAGTACAGGTGGAAAATGCACAAGATTTCCTGAAACAAATCCAAAACCAATATCAATCCAATAAAAAGAAAAAAATTCTCCATGAAAACCTCTGCCATAGTAGCCGAAATGATCCTGAGGGGGTGGGGGCACCGGGGGTGGGGGTGCCGGGGGCGCAAACTGGCCTGGATACGCCTCTTGTTGTCTCATTGTAGCTGAAAGGTCAAACATGAAGGTCAATACAGTATCTGCTGCTAACTACTATCACATATCATCACACAACTACAGTATATGATGCACTCATATCTTATTTCTCATATTATTGGTGTAAGATAATGTTCTCAAAAATCTTCCAAATTTTCATGATTTTCACCCAACATATTAAAACTCAAGCATACCAGGTAAACCTCTTTTTTGTCCTGAAATAAATTCTGCAGTCAAAGAACTATCCTGCCTCGATTGATATAGCACTTGTAATTTGTGAGAAACTGGGCTAAAGATGACTAGTTAATGTTACCAGTGATGCCAACTCTAATGCCAACTGAGACAAAAAAGTAGAAATTTAGTCTTGCTTCAACTTCTTTCTTCGTTGAGGTGGAAAAAATAATGACAAAACATGTTTTGAAAATAAGTCTTGAATTCTGAAATCCCACCATCTTGTCTCATATGTCTTGTTTCTGTGGTATAGCTACCTGTATGACTTGAAATTTGGCATATGATACACCTTAAACATACTTGTCTGTACTTACTGAACACCATCAGAACAATAGATCATGATCATCAGACACTACAACACACTCTGCCTAAACTTTGTCCAATCTTGATTTTGTTTGAACCATCCATATAGAGTACAACCAAAACACTTACCTCTGTGTAAATTGATCAATATATAAGGGTACACAGAGTTGATATAACCATGGTTACCAATCCTTACACATATAATTGTACCTGTCGGTAAATGATTCATATTGATACAGAGCAAAAATGTTTCAGAAGCACCTGTTTTAGCATTTAATCCATATAATCAAAAAAATTCAATGAAGTTCAGAAAGTTAAAATTCTATGAAGTCTTAATTTTCATCAAACCTGTATTCTTATTTTTTTCTCTAAATTTTCAACTGGTTTTGACACAAGTGTTTGTATAATGACCTGGAGTCAGATACTGTGTAAAACAAACTAGACTGTCTAGATACTGTTTGCATTCATAGAACTACAACAAAAATAATTGGAAATTGCTAAGAGACGGAACAACACTAACTACTAAATAGTATTATACAGATGCAAGATATTTCAAACATAGACAAATAAATCAAAATACAAGACACCACTTTCACAAATATATATATACTTTGTATTTTCAATGTATGCAACATTTATGATTTGTAAATACTTTCATTTCCATATATGTACACACAATACTGACTGATGATCAAAGTGCATAGTAACTCACATTGTTGATAAGATCGGTCTATGAAAAGCAACAAAATGAAAACAGTTTACCTCCAATAATCTAATGAATTCATTAAATTTGTGATACAGTAATGATTAAGCATTAAAATACCAATTAAAAGTCACTTTAGAACCTCATTAATATGTACTCAATTAAAGGTCACTTTAGAACCTCATTAAAATGTACTCAATTAAAGGTCACCTTAGAACCTCATTAATATGTACTCAATTAAAGGTCACTTTAGAACCTCATTAAAATGTACTCAATTAAAGGTCACTTTAGAACCTCATTAAAATGTACTCAATTAAAGGTCACTTTAAAACCTCATTAAAATGTACTCAATTAAAGGTCACTTTAAAACCTCATTAAAATTACTCAATTAAAGGTCACCTTAGTCATTAAAATGTATTCAATTAAAGGTCACCTTATAACCTCATTAATATGTAATTAATATCAATTTATACTCTGGACAAATGATGATTATGATATATTTAATTTCGAAACATTTTCAAATGAAATATATGACAATTTTACTAGACCTTAATAAAATTACAAAACAGCCTTAAGTAATGAACTACACATTTTTCATAAACTATAGATAAATTGTACTAAATGGCTGACTACAGAGAATTCTACTGAAAGCATTAATAATGTTTGGGTATTATTAGAAAGGTAACATCACATTTAGAAAACATTTCACCATTATTGTTACAAGAACTGTTGGAGGAAAAGTGAAAGAAACACTAAAGAAATCAATTAAAAAGAAAAAAAAACTATAACGAATAACAAAGCTAAACATATTGACATCAGCTAGACAAAAAAACATAAACGTGAAATGTGACAAAACAGGTGATGAAATATCGGGGGAAGGTGAAAAGGATTGTGGGATAGGTTGTTCTTGGAGTACCTTCAGGATGCGGCATCATGTGAGATCCATCTGCAAACTGATCTGGAACTGTGGGAAAACAGGACAAGCAGACATACAGATATGTTCCCATCATACAACATTCAAGATGGATGAATAAAATGAATGATATGTCTATACTTTCATGAGAAAAAGGTTAACTCTATACCGTAAATATGTATGTACACGAATAAATATGATCCCATCATTCAACATTCAAAATAGATGAAAAAATCAGGTGATTTTCTTCATCAGGTATATGTAGTATATATTCATTAACACAGATGAAACAAAATTATAATTAATAGATGTTATATATGATGTTATATATGTGTGGTTAAGATTTCAGTATGTAATGACCAAAATACTGAGACAAAACAATGATATCATGATAAAATTTCACCAACACACAATAAAACACAATGTTTTAGGTAGTGACAATGAATAAGCATGATAAACACTCTGTGTTCTAGTTCCAGTAATCAAAGTATAATCTTCAGTAATTATTTCATTTGCCACAAAGAAAATAAAAAAGATGAAATGTTAAAAACCACACACAAATGATTGTAAAATCATGCTGATAAACTCCTCTACCCTTCAAGTTCATAAAGGTCATGCAGCATAAAAAGTGGGATATCAATCCAACTTGTTTGACACTGAAAATCACTGTACAGTCAAATTCCAACGAAGCTATTCGTATTGTTAGCTTAATTAGCATTGATTAAGTACTATTCCTCACTATAATTATTATACAACGTGGATAAAATTCACACAAGCATTTGACACGATAGAGAACACAAATCAAACCGAGTCACTCTCTCCACATGCTTTTTTTCCATGCCATCATAGCAGCCTTGATTTTTAAGAGACAAAATCATGTGATTTTCACATTTCATCTGCAAGTTTTCTCCATTGTTACCTCCACATTGTCACAAATTCAAACAGGGGAAAAAAAGTTAATATAAGTATGATTGATAAAGTGTCGCAGATTTCGTATCAGAATAAGTATGGTTTAGTTAAATAATTCATTGATATCAAATTAATTAAGTTTAATGATATAGAATGAATTATTCAAACAACAACATCAACAAGAAAAAGGTTTTAGCTATTGATAGTGAAACAAATCAACATTCATATCTCAGACTCGGTGAGTTCTTACATAGTGTGACATTCAAACACCACTTTTAAGTACTATATGCTATTTTTCGTTTAACCTTGAAATTTAAATCAATGAAGTTTTTTTCCTAGCATGAGACTTGTTGATTAACCATTAACAATAATCAAATCAAACTTTCATAATTTCTTTTATCAATATAATTCATCAATCTTAAGATAAGTTTTTGATTCTCATCTTCATTCTAAACTTGTAATAATACAGGATGTTAAAAGATTAAGTGTTATTCATAGTTGTTTCTCAAGAGATAAAACATTCTGTATAGGGAAGTTATGAGGTACAGATAAAAGCGCTGCAGATATCAAATTGTTTGATTTTTTTTTTTTAATTTCTGGTTTGCTTTGATTACACCTACACAATGATGTTGCTACCTGTGAAAACTGAAAAAATCTATCAGTCTATAAAATACTTTCACTTCAGGAGAGATTTTGTTCGTAGAACTGTCCCAAAAAAAGTCTACACTTTAAGGAATGTCATTCAGATATAGTAGTAGGCCATTCCCCGCCCCCTCCCCCCACCCCCCACCCCCTACTAATGACACATATGTGGAGAATGGAGATTAAACTTGTGTGTGTATAAAGTGAGCAAAGATAGAGTTGTTAACTTATTACAGTCCAGCTTAGCTTTCAAATTCTATCAACATACAACCTAATGTGTAAACTCTACATTCAAAAGACAATTAATTAAAAGGGAAGTTAGAGCATAGATTTCTGGTATTACTTTTGTTATTTTATATGATGGTTAACATTGATTTAAGGAGTTGGGATACATAGGATGCTCACATCAGGGGGTTCACTCTCAAAAAACCATGCTAGGCTTCATTACATTTGCTACCTCTAGCCATGATATTTCTATTTGGAGGGCTATCTACGACTACAGGACTATAGGTGGCGCTAGTCGGACCGTAAGCGGAGGCTGGCGGCCTGCCCAGGTTGAAAATCTCACTAAAGTCCTGGGAAGGCCAGATTGGCGGTGGTGGCAGCGGTGGCATGGAATGGTCTACAGGTGTAAATAAATACTGTTATAGGTATAAAAGTCTAATTTCATCATCAAAGGTACACATATACTAAATACAGGTGTAAACACCAAATAAAGGTGTAAATACTATATATAGGTGTAAACACCAAATAAAGGTGTAAATGCTATATATAGGTGTAAACACCAAATAAAGGTGTTAACACAATAAACAGGTGTAAACACAAAAACAGGTGTAAACACAATAAACAGGCGTAAACACTAAATACAGGTTTAAACACTGTATACAGGTGTAAATACCAAATATATTGGTGTAAACAAACTCTCTTTGCTAGTACACTCAATACAACATGTACAACAATTATTGGTATAAACAAACTCTCTTTGCTAGTACACTCAACACAACAGGTACACCAATTATTGGTGTAAACAAACTCTCTTTTCTAGTACACTCAACACAACAGGTACAACAATTATTGGTGTAAACAAACTCTCTTTGCTAGTACACTCAACACAACAGGTACAACAATTATTGGTGTAAACAAACTCTCTTTGCTAGTACACTCAACACAACAGGTACAACAATTATTGGTGTAAACAAACTCTCTTTGCTAGTACACTCAACACAACAGGTACTCCAATTATTGGTGTAAACAAACTATCTTTGCTAGTACACTCAACACAACAGGTACAATAATTATTGGTGTAAACAAACTCTCTTTGCTAGTACACTCAACACAACAGGTACTCCAATTATTGGTGTAAACAAACTCTCTTTGCTAGTACACTCAACACAACAGGTACACCAATTATTGGTGTAAACAAACTCTCTTTGCTAGTACACTCAACACAACAGGAACACCAATTATTGGGGTAAACAAACTCTCTTTGCTGGTACACTCAACACAACAGGTACATCAATATTGGTGTAAACAAACTCTCTTTGCTAGTACACTCAACACAACAGGTACACCAATTATTGGTGTAAACAAACTCCCATGAAAGGTACAACGTGAAAAACAAACACCAATTAAGGTAAGCTCACAACGACAGGTACATTTTCACCAAATTTTCATGGTGCCCCGAATAGCAAAACAGGTTAACGATGTATAAATGCAAATTAGCTTTCATTAATGATTATACTCAACACCATATATAGTGTATAAGATTTCACCAGGTACACACAGCTGTACAACACTTTCACTATATATTGTCTATAAAGGTTTCAACAATCTGACAGTTCAGGTACGCACAGCCACACAACACAACAGTTACACTATATATATTGTCTATATAGATTTTATAAATCTGACGGTTCAGGAATGCACAGCCGCACAACACAACATTTATACTATATACAGTTGACAAACTCTTATCACAGGCAAACACAACTGATTTACTATCTAATAAAATATATATTTGATAAATATGTTAAGTACCAAAATATACAGTGTAAGTATAAAGACGTATTTGTACTTAATTTTTTAATGAATAAAACCATTATCTTGCACAAAACCAATTGTGTTTAAAGCCAAAAACAATATCCAAAAGAACATCCCAAGTTCTGTTTTCAAGAAATTTCTAGAAAAAGCCGTGCTATCAAAGCTGTTTGAAAAATAAAGGATGTGAGTAACATCTTTATTAAACACATTCCATGTTTTTAGAATCATATCAATTACAGAAAACAGCTCAGTCTTACATGGTAGAACCCACTTCTTGCAGAATATAGGGAATACTTCAGTAATATGATTTAAACATTTCGTCACATGATATTTCTGTCATGTGACAGATGACAAATGAAATTTTTTCCCCTCTTTTTTTTAGAACTCAGGAGTTTTACTGCTTTAAGTTTAACTCTTTTTTCAAAAAATTAAACCACTAATTTGTTGATTCCAATATAAACTTGTACATACATAAATTCATCCTACACATATCATTGATATTTGACCCCTTGACAATTTCTGTTTTTAAGGTATACTGTCTCAACAATTTCTGTTTTTAAGGTATACTGTCTCAACAATTTCTGTTTTTAAGGTATACTGTCTCAACAATTTCTGTTTTTAAGGTATACTGTCTTAACAATTTCTGTTTTTAAGGTATACTGTCTCAACAATTTCTGTTTTTAAGGTATACTGCCTCAAAAATTTCTAAAATCTAAACAACACCATACCTTATTGTCACACCTTGCAAAGACCAATCACAACAAAATCACACTTATCTATAACTAACTGCACTTTCTTACAAAACATAAACACACAAAATGCACCAGTCAGATGCAGATAAATAAAGGTTTACAGTTATCAACTATAAATACTGTAGCAATAAAAAACACACATATTAAGGAATTAAAAGGTCTATTAAAGATTATGTGTATGTGATTTACTATAATTCTGACACTGAACATACGAAGATTCACTGAAAACTGAACTGATGAAAATATTACAAAATATAAATACATCACACTTTTATATGTTAGATTTGGTGTAATGACATACACCTGTAAACAATAAGATGTGCAAGGATATAGGTGTATATATATATTATTTGACCTCCTAAGTGTACTTACATAGATATCAATATCATGTTCTGTTCCAATATCATGTTCCTTTATAGGTCATTTCAAAACACATAATCTTTATCACTCAGAAAATGTGAGTGTTTCCATTGTATCTATGATTTAAATGTTAAGATACAAAATTTAAAGACAATTAAGTACATTATGAAAAAAAAAAAAAAAAATAGATATATACTTTTATCTTTCTTGTAAAATAAGTAGGCATACACTAAGAGGTCAAATGAGTTAGATAAATAGAAAATAGCAGCTTCCTCTGCAACTTTCCTAGTGTTTACTGAAAGGTAAAAAGTATCAGATATAAACAGATTATACAACACAAAACCAGACATCAACTATATCCACCCTGAGGTAGAAAGACTCCGCCTACCTGTGATGTGAAGTTGTGACAGGTCTGGTGGCGGAGGAGGGAACTGCTCATTACCAGGCTCTTCTCGGAATATGTCTCGTACGTCGCCCACCGCTGATATAAGCTGTTAAGAGAAGATGGCAAAGAAATCATGATTCTGATACAGTAATCCTAGTGAAGCGTAAATAATGCATCTAACTGAAAATATTTGTGTGATATCCTAATTAATTAACAGTGAAAATAGGAAGTGTGTATTAAATATGATTTTACCACAACCAAGTGCTGACAAAGCTGATATTTGAGTAGTTGGTATATGGGAAAAGCTTCTCTCACTCATCAACAGCTGTAATTTGATTGGTTGGGATATGGAGTGAGCTTCTCTCACTCATCAACAGCTGTAATTTGATTGGTTGGGATATGGAGGAGCTTCTCTAAGTCATCATAGATACTGACAGGCCTATCTCTAGATTAGATACGGTATTCTTGAGATCTATAGTAAATATGTAGAATCCAGGTTAAATGTGGTATTCCTGTGATTTCCGTAAAGTCTGTAGATTCCAGAATTGCTTCAAAGTTACATATACTAACTCTCCTGTCTTTGATTCAAAGTTACATATATTAACACACCTGTCTTAGCTCACAAGAGCTACTGACATCATTAACTAAGAGGTGTAACAGTGAATATAGATTTTCATCATTTAATCAGTTTCTCTAGATATTGACTTTAATTCATTTAAAGTCTCACATTCTGGTTGGCTTTCCTCCAGTTGTTGACAGCATTACCATCTTTGGGATTCATAGACATAATCTTGGCATTCTGAACCATTGGAGAGATCGCTGTAAAATGAGATGACACCAGTTTGAAATTTTTTAATTCAAATGCAACTAAATATTCAAACTATTTTTGACAATTAGAAAAATCACTCAAACTTGCATATGCTTACTTCAATTTACTTATCACTAATACACTTTTCTGGGAACCCTAATTTTTCTTATTCACCTTATTCACTTGAAAATAAGTTTCTAAAAAACACCACAAATTTTTTCATCTTTAATTTTCCCTTACCTTCCCTCCTATATCTCTAAACTTAATTTCCACAACTCAGTAACTGTTTTGTTTTACCTTATTTTGAATCTTAGGATTTCATGTTAGGATTCATTTGAATAAAAGATTTAAATCACTTGACTGCAATTTTATAAACAAGGAAGACTAGAAGTTAATTAGATTCTCCTTCAAATTTCAATTCACATGTTAAGTCTACTTTTCAAAATGGTGGCTCACTGGAGTTATAACTTTTAACATTCTGACTCACCTGACAAAGTTTCAATATTCTGACTCATCTGACTTAAAAGTTTTAATTTTTTGACATTAAGTTTGAAGATTTAGACTCACTTGACTTTAAGTTTTCGGCAGCATGATTGACCTGGTCTACAAATCGTGGGTCCTCGCTGTTTTCAGCCTCAGTGTGAGCTACCTGAAGTACACGGTTTGCACGACGGGCAATATTAGATCCGTTTGTTACCATTTTAGCTGGATCATTTGTCCTGATGCCATCCTCTACACGATCTGTGTCCCGAAGGATAGCTTCCTCTGTAACATTTAGGATAAGTTGAAGGGATATCAGAATCTACAGCACCAAAGGCAGTGAAAAACAATTAAACAGGAAATAGTAGTAAAACTGACCTCTTCATAAATGAAATACTGTATGTTTATCCAATTATTAACCAAAGTAGAGTCTTTCCATACAACTCCTGATAGCAATACTACCATATATATCTGTAAATAAGTCTAACAGTAAACCCAATCACATCTTTCGTTGTTTTAGTAGGAATGCTATATAAAACCTACTTCATTCTCTGAGTCATTCTGTTACCCTTGTGGGATCCATGCAGGATATGATTGATAATAGGCAAATACACATAAAAAATTGAGGCTGATTATTGAGAAATCCTCTTCAGTCAACCAGATTTTTACAGTTTAATGTTGCAGCATTTATCTGTAGCCACCAGAAAAAGTTTTGTCTAAAGTGTTGAGATAATTCTGATCTTTGCATAATCTTATTTAACCTTATCCAAATTTTGCAAATTTCAGGCAACAAATGCGTACCGACGGCCTTAAGGTGGGCTGGCGTATCAACAGCCTCATCTACAAGACTCCTTAAATGTTCCATATTATCTGTCCACTGTTTCTTCATCAAGTCAAAATGATCACGAGCAGCAGCATTGTTGGGGTCAGCGAGTACAATTCTTGCTGCTGTAACCACTTGTGGTGTCAGATCATTGACCTGAAATATTAAAAAAAAAACCCATTCAACCATGTCAGCGAGTGAACAAACAAGAAGTTAGCACTGAATGAAGTTATCATTAGAAATAAATATTTTATTAGAATTTTTTCTTATACCTTTAACTTTTTCTGATCATTTGAAGACAATCATTTTTGTTCTGATCAATGTTTTGTAGATAGGCTCTATATTTCACCCTTGCTGATAACTTAAAGATGGCCTCAAATTTTCCACAGTATTCTCCCTTACCCCTATGTTTACATGTCATCCATGACTTCATTCCCTTGCTATCTTACCTGTGCTGATGACTTGAAGATCGCCTCTACGGTTTTCTTGTTTCTACATCCCCCTTTTGTTGCCACCATATTTGCAGTATCAGCTAGTTTGGAGGAATGGTCCTCAAACTGTTTTGCCTTGTCAGCAAAGTTAGCATCACGGCCTGGAGTTCCTGAAAAACAAAGTATTTGTATAACAATATATCCAGTTCCTGGTCAATACAGGAATGTATACAAGGCTATCCTCATTATTGATGATACAGCTCCAAGTGTCGGCAAAGTTTCTGTAAGCCAATGGATGACAGTTTTCTGATTGTTTTAATGTAAGACTCTGTGATTTGGGGTAACAAAGTAAACATGACATACCTAAGGGTGCCAGGGCAGCATCAGTCATGTTTTTCAGCGGCATTGAGATATCAATAAAGTCATCAGCAACCTAGAAAATAAAAACACAATTCTTCTGAAATGTTCACGGTTATTTATCATGAAATATTACACCGCAGTAAACTCAATTTTACTGTTATTATTTACCGATACCACAGTAAGTAAGTAAGTAATGTATGCTATGTCATTCAGTCGGAACCAGCAACAGAAACATCGATAAAAATACAACTATTTCATGGTATCAATGCTCAGAATTACTTCATATTTTCTATTGTGTGTGTTTTTTTTTTAAATAAATTGATCTCCATATACATAATACATGTCTATATAAGGTTTGTTATATTTCTGTGTTTCTTTTTTTCATTTACCAGACAATTATTACCAATACTCACCTTTATATTATATCATATTCTGTTTTTAGATTTTTTTTTTCTATATTTCTCGTTTTCTATTCTGAAAACAAACTAACGATTCCCAGTGCACCTTGTGACTTATGAAAGTCTGATTATAATAGTGACCTTGAAACTGACCTACCAAATAACAACATGTGCGAAATTAAAAATCGTTATTAAAGTAACTTATAAGTAAATAGAAGAATATCCTTTTGTTAATGATCTTTAACCTTGCAGCTGACTTTGCTTCCTGATGTTCACTTACCTGGCTGAGCAGGGCTTCCTGTATTTTATACTTGAGGGCATGAAGTTTTTCTGTCAGAGCTTTAGCCAATGCTTTGGCTTGTGGGCTATCCCCCTGACAAACAAATACATTTATTCATCATCTACAAATTTAATCTCATAATTTTTCTTGTGAAATGCATATTCCTAGAATTTCAGTTCTTAATTAATATCAATACTTGTATTTATGATATCATAAATATGATTTTCAAAATTCACTGTTTTGATAGAAATATTTTGCATAGGTAACTACATTGTACCAAAGCAAATACACACTCAGAAATATATTTACAATTATTTGTGTTGATAAAAAGCAGTCATAAATTTACATGTATACAAGTATAAGTTACAGTATATAGTGTTATCTGGGTCTGATATCTCAAAAAGTTCATTTAGGTGTGAAAGATAAGTTTTGTTAAATGATCTGAGACACAGTATTTACCTGGCCCTTCCTGATGAGATCCGAGAGCTGATTAGTGAGTATCTCTGTCTCATCACACAGCCGCAGAAGATCTGAGCGCTGAGACCCTGGACAGGAATCTGCTACTCGTCGTCCTTCTGCTACTATCATACGTGTTGCTTGTTCTCCTGTATAAAACATATCAAACAAAGGGTCATATTTACCCTCATTAAACTTAACTTAACAGAGGTTCATATTTACCCTCATTAAACTTAACTTAACAGAGGTTCATATTTACCCTCATTAAACTTAACTTAACAGCGGTTCATATTTACCCTCATTAAACTTAACTTAACAACGGTTCATATTTACCCTCATTAAACTTAACTTAACAGCGGTTCATATTTACCCTCATTAAACTTAACTTAACAGAGGTTCATATTTACCCTCATTAAACTTAACTTAACGGAGGTTCATATTTACCTTCATTAAACTTAACTTAACAGCGGTTCATATTTACCCTCATTAAACTTAACGGAGGTTCATATTTACCCTCATTAAACTTAACTTAACAGAGGTTCATATTTACCCTCATTAAACTTAACTTAACGGAGGTTCATATTTACCTTCATTAAACTTAACTTAACAGAGGTTCATATTTACCCTCATTAAACTTAACTTAACGGAGGTTCATATTTACCTTCATTAAACTTAACTTAACAGAGGTTCATATTTACCCTCATTAAACTTAACTTAACAGCGGTTCATATTTACCCTCATTAAACTTAACTTAACAGAGGTTCATATTTACCCTCATTAAACTTAACTTAACAGAGGTTCATATTTACCTTCATTAAACTTAACTTAACAGAGGTTCATATTTACCCTCATTAAACTTAACTTAATTATACATCACAAGTGAAGTATCAGTAAATTAATATATGCATAGTACTACGTCTACCAAAATCATCCTTTTTATGAGCATGTAAGTAATATCCTTGTAGAATATTGTTCTCAAGTGTGGAATAATTCTACAGTAACATTCTTTGAATACAAATACCTTTACACATTTAAATAGCACAGAGCTACAAAACAAGAAAAAACAAGGGACGTAACTCTTGTCCACTTATTAAATAACTAATTCCTTTGTTAATGCTTCTTACTATAGATGCACTGACATCATTCTAAAGTGATCTGATACATCAAAATTATGAAATTTATTGAATTTTGGGCATGGTGCACATTACTGTCTACAATTTAACTTTTCTTTCAATCACTTTGGATTTTCCTCAGTCCCCTCCTAGGCTTCAAAATTTAGGCCCTTAGCATCACTGACATGTCCTCGAAGGAAAAAACCCAAGTTTAAGTCATTGCTTGGCTTTACTCTACTTTTTAATTTGTATTAAAAGGCACTACTCACTTTGTATATCTTTTGTTCAATTTCTCTAGAGCAATTTAATAAAATTTCACATTTTCATATTGAATTAACATCAAGCCTAAAGTAAGCCTACACAGGTTTGTATGCTTGATGTCCCCTAAATTTCTCCTAGGTAGGATAAATGATCAATTAAGTACCGAGTCCTCTGTCGTCCATGCCTGGGTGTGACAGCCATTGTCGTGCCTGTTCTACCTTTCCCTCTACGGTAGGGGCAGGACGTCGTATACCAGATCTCTCAGTCTTCACAATGGCTTTCTGGGTCTGTCTCTGAAGGTCATGTAATTTACTTTGGATTTGACGGGCTAAAGACATGGCTTGTGGACTGTTTCCCTGTAAATAAAATGCTCATTTAAGGGTTTATGTCACTGTAACAAGTGAGTTGCAATCTTATCTTTTGGTATTTTCTACAACAAAACGTTGAATTTCGATCATCTATATATTAGATACTCCCCTCAAACAACATATTGTAATTTTGTCCTATGACAGTATATCAATCAGTCAAAAGGTAAATGACCTTTGTTTGACCTTTGTGTTACCTATGATTACCTTTATGTTATGTGTTACCTACAATTACCTTTATGCTTTGTGTTACCTACGATTACCTTTATGCTTTGTGTTACCTACGATTACCTTTATGCTTTGTGTTACCTACGATTACCTTTATGCTTTGTGTTACCTACGATTACCTTTATGCTTTGTGTTACCTACGATTACCTTTATGCTTTGTGTTACATACAATTTACCTTTATGCTTTGTGTTACCTATGATTATCTTTATGCTTTGTGTTACCTACAATTACCTTTATGCTTTGTGTTACCTACGATTACCTTTATGCTTTGTGTTACCTACGATTACCTTTATTCTTTGTGTTACCTACAATTACCTTTATGCTTTGTGTTACCTACAATTACCTTTATGCTTTGTGTTACCTATGATTACCTTTATGCTTTGTGTTACCTATGATTACCTTTATGCTTTGTGTTACCTACGATTACCTTTATGCTTTGTGTTACCTATAATTACCTTTCTGCTTTGTGTTACCTATAATTACCTTTATGCTTTGTGTTACCTATGATTATCTTTATGTTTTGTGTTACCTATGATTACCTTAATGAACCCCAGTAATGTTTCTATGACATATAATCTTCTATCTTAATGACTTGCAACTTGCACTTAAATTAATGACATGTATCAAGGATTTTCTCCATGAGTAAACAAATCTGGAAAATAGTACAATGCATTTCTAATCCAATTGTTTTAGTGTCTACAAACACAAGAAATTCGCATGTACACATTGCATTTCTAGTTTCCACTATGTTTTCAATCTGTTTGTCTTAATATTTTTCCTCGAACAAAGTCATGACTTTGACACTTATGACAATGTTTCACTTGATATTTGTAAGTAAACTGATACAGAGTAAGACATGATACCTTTCCCTGCTGTCGTAGTTCTGACAGGGCATTAGTCATGGATTCCATGTCTCCTACTGTCTTCAATATTATATCTCTGTCCTCTGGGTCTGTGCACCTATCTGCTACACGTCGCGAGTCTTCTAATATCTGTCGCAATGATTTGTCGCCTGAAAATTCACAAAAATTCTTTTAATTGATTAAAGTTATTTCTACCATAAAATGAAAGATGTTAAATTAATGGTGTATGACGTTTTCCAGAAGAATCATTTCAGGGATTGATACTTTATACTGAAACTATGACATTTGCTAATGGATGTCATAACTTATATCAGCATAAATATAATGTAATACTTTTGCCAATCTAACTTTGAAGGGACAACTACTTAATGGAACATGTATTGTATATTTGGTTATAAAGTAAAATACACTAAATTAGAAATAAAGCTTTTATTTAAAATGTTCTATTTCATTTATAGCTAGACGGTTGACGATCAACTAAAACACACAGCTGGAGTTATCTCCACCTACCAGACCCTCCAACAAGCGCTGTGGGGTCTGCCAGCCAGTCATTAGCATTTTTGATCTTCTGATCAATTGTGCTCTGCAGTTTTCTCATGACGGCAAGGTCGTCAGCATCCCACTCCTCCTCATCATATGTTGTCAGCTGTAACACTCGAATGATTTCGTGGATTTCGTCTCTCATCTTCTTCACCATGTAATCTCTGTTACACTGTGCATCAACCACCTGCTGAGGCATGGTGTAGTTCTCTGTAAATAGGAACAGTATATAGTGAGAAAATTCAGAGAAAAAGTGTGTGAGGCATCACAGAGTGACATGTATGTGTCATTGTATTTGTCTGTTGGCCGATTTGTTTGCGGCTTTTATCATCCCATGAACAGCAGTGTCAGTATGAGGTGGTGACTAACTACCTCATGCCTGCCACATATTACCAAACGCAACTTTGTGCACTGACACAACCATGGCAGCACAGCACGAACCATGACCTCAGCTTTCTGAGAAACAAAATCTATCCCGATCTCATCAAAACAAATCATGACCTCAGTTTCCAGAGGAACACAATCTATCCCGATCTCATCGAAACAAATCATGTTTTCAGTTTCCAGAGGAACACAATCTATCCCAATCTCATCGAAACAAATCATGTCCTCAGTTTCCAGAGGAACACAATCTATCCCAATCTCATCGAAACAAATCATGTCCTCAGTTTCCAGAGGAACACAATCTATCCCGATCTCATCGAAACAAATCATGTCCTCAGTTTCCAGAGGAACACAATCTATCCCCATCTCATCGAAACAAATCATGTCCTCAGTTACCAGAGGAACACAATCTATCCCCATCTCATCGAAACAAATCATGTCCTCAGTTTCCAGAGGAACACAATCTATCCCCATCTCATCGAAACAAATCATGTCTTCTGTTACCAGAGGAACACAATCTATCCCCATCTCATCGAAACAAATCATGTCCTCAGTTTCCAGAGGAACACAATCTATCCCCATCTCATCGAAACAAATCATGTCCTCAGTTTCCAGAGGAACACAATCTATCCCCATCTCATCGAAACAAATCATCGAAACAAATCATGTTTTCAGTTTCCAGAGGAACACAATCTATCCCCATCTCATCGAAACAAATCATGTCCTCAGTTTCCAGAGGAACACAATCTATCCCCATCTCATCGAAACAAATCATGTCCTCAGTTTCCAGAGGAACACAATCTATCCCCATCTCATCGAAACAAATCATGTCCTCAGTTTCCAGAGGAACACAATCTATCCCCATCTCATCGAAACAAATCATGTCCTCAGTTTCCAGAGGAACACAATCTATCCCCATCTCATCGAAACAAATCATGTCATCAGTTTCCAGAGGAACACAATCTATCCCCATCTCATCAAAACAAATCATGACCTCAGCTTCCTGAGAAACACAATCTATCCCCATCTCATCGAAACAAATCATGTCCTCAGTTTCCAGAGGAACACAATCTATCCCCATCTCATCGAAACAAATCATGCCTTCAGTTTCCAGAGGAACACAATCTATCCCCATCTCATCGAAACAAATCATGTCCTCATCATCCCCATCTCATCGAAACAAATCATGTCCTCAGTTTCCAGAGGAACACAAACTATCCCCATCTCATCGAAACAAATCATGTCCTCAGTTTCCAGAGGAACACAATCTATCCCCATCTCATCGAAACAAATCATCTCCAGAGGAACACAATCTATCCCCATCTCATCGAAACATCGAAACAAATCATGTCCCCATCTCAGTTTCCAGAGGAAACACAATCTATCCCAATCTCATCGAAACAAATCATGACCTCAGTTTCCAGAGAAACACAATCTATCCCCATCTCATCGAAACAAATCATGTCCTCAGTTTCCAGAGGAACACAATCTATCCCCATCTCATCGAAACAAATCATGACCTCATCCAGAGAAAAACAACCCACCTCTTGTAAGTCGAATGTTAATGTGTAGTTGTGTGTGCAGATACCTACCTTTGGCTGTGATGTAGATCTTGATGCCACTAATGACAACAGGAGTGAGGTTTTTGACCTGATCCAGCGACTGACATAACATCTCTCTGTGGACTTGATGTGTTAACTCCTTTTCCCGTCCATCCACTTGTTTCGCCATTGTAGTAAGAACTGGACTTAGATTCTGGAAACAATACAAAATATTTCAAAGTCAGAATGAGTTCAAACACAGAGATGAATGTGTACGACAATCTGACCATTGACAGAACTTCAGGTTTGGTCAATCTTTCCTACAGCATGTGCATGGGAGTCAAAACATGATTACTACTGATTTAGGTATTTTTATCATCATTCAGACAGGGAACCAACAGCACTAGGATATCTTGTTGATAAAGAGATCTTTATTTTCTAAATTTTAGGATTAATATTTCATCTTTTGGGTTGTTTCTCAGATATTTAAAGGAAGACATCAACAGGACCTCTAATTCAGATAGAAACACTGACCTTGACATATGTGACGAGATCTTCCATTCGGTCCACCACCTCTACTATAGCCAAGTATTCTAACACATTTTTACATACTCGGATAATCTTTCTCACTTCTGATTCATCAAAAGCTAACAATAAGGCAGAGGTTCCTTGTAAAATACCTAATAAACAAAATAAAGACATATTCTTACTGTAAATTATCTACTGTGCACAATTCTGATCTATCTGACTTTTCTGTAAAGCACAACAATAACAATTTTCATGATTAGTATAAATCACTTTGTGTTTACAGTCAGACCTCTCTATAAAGGTCACTCAGTACGGCAAAGGAAAGTGGCCTTTATACACAGGTGGCCTTTATATACAATGACATCAAAAATGTATTACATTGGGATCCATAAACAGAGAACTGAATATACAGGTAACAGTTACATACAGGTGAACTCAAAAGCAGGTTTGACTGTTTCTTCCTTGCCAAGTATTGAAACCTTTTCATGCTTTTCTACAGGGAGGATTTTGTTTGTTGAAGATTTTTATCTACCTGTAGAGAATGCCATTTTTTTCATTATCCTTGAACAATATACTGTGGCTTACAAATATTTTCAGCAAACAACACAAGAACACTACTCCTTACCTCTAGAACCCTCTATGAGTTTTTTACGTGCAGGTGCAGAGAATGGATCTGTTCGGAGAAGTTCTGATGCCTTAAGAAGAAGTAAGGATGCTTCCTCCACCCTGCGGAGGGCATGGGGCATGTCTTGTTTTAGGATCTGGTCCTCGCTACTGTTAATTGTTTCATAACCAACCTACAACATTAACATTAAGCTTAACAAAGAAGAAAATTCACATACATCATGATAAAACCTTACTCATGTTAATTTCAGAAATATGAACTTTTTCCTAGACACTTGAGCTAAACTGACTTTCTAGACGTTCAAACAAACTCACTTTACAGACACTCAAACGAAACTCTCACTCTCCTGCCAATCAAATGATTCACTCCTCAGACGTTTGAAAGAAATCCACTCTACAAATACAAAAAAAAAACCTTTCCACACACCTAACCCACCTGACACTCAAACAAATCTAACCTACCTGACACTTAAACAAAACTCACCCTCCTGACACTCAAACAAACTCACCCTTTTAACAATCAAACAAAACTTACCTTCAAGACAATCAAACATAGTTCACTCTCATTCTCTTGATACTCAAACAAAACTCATTCACACAAAGATTTATTCCATCACGAAAAATGATGTACATTTGAGTATAAAGCATGCTCCCTGATACAATGCGTTCCATACATTGGAACTAACAAACATTATATAAGATGAATGTATGTTATATTAAATATGATCATACAACTTGTATTATAAAAGGGAAACAAGCCACAGCACACACACAAACAAGACTGTTACAACATTTTACACACTATTAAATTTTATGATTATGATTTTTTTCCCCTTATTTTTTGTTTTGCTTTCTCAAATCATAAGGTACCTACCCTAACAAGATTATCAACGGCCAGCTTGACTGTCTGGACCGGCATGGCAAGGTCTGGCATGGCGTTGCCATCTTCTGCTTCTTCATGAAGGATGACTAATTTGGATACCTGTAATATAGAGAGACATCATGGTCAGTTAGACAGTCACATGATGGTCAGTTGTGACACAATTTTAAAATATCATAACAGTGGTAAGACTTTGACATACAAGAGATTGCTATTTATAAACTTGGGATACAATGTAAATAAAAAATTACTTCTGTAATTGATTTAAACTGTATACACGTGTAATCTGGTGTTATTTTAATGTCCCTTCACCATATAGCAATGGAAGTTGTAATTAATCTACAGGATTAGAATCAAACATAGTGACAGACATTTGCGATGAATTTGACCTCAGACATTTGCAATGAATTTAACCACAGACATTTGCGATGAATTTGATCACAGACATTTTCGATGAATTTAACCACAGACATTTGCAATGAATTTGACCACAGACATTTGCGATGCATTTGACCAGAAATTTGCGATGAATTTGACCACAGACATTTGCTATGAATTTGACCTCAGACATTTGCGATGAATTTGACCACAGACATTTGCGATGAATTTAACCACAGACATTTGCAATGGATTTGACCTCAGACATTTGCTATGAATTTGACCACAGACATTTGTGATGAATTTGACCTCAGACATTTGCGATGGATTTGACCTCAGACATTTGCTATGAATTTGACCTCAGACATTTGTGATGAATTTAACCACAGACATTTGCGATGAATTTGACCACAGACATTTGCTATGAATTTGACCTCAGACATTTGCGATGAATTTGACCACAGACATTTGCGATGAATTTAACCACAGACATTTGCAATGGATTTGACCTCAGACATTTGCTATGAATTTGACCACAGACATTTGTGATGAATTTGACCTCAGACATTTGCGATGGATTTGACCTCAGACATTTGCTATGAATTTGACCTCAGACATTTGTGATGAATTTAACCACAGACATTTGCGATGAATTTGATCACAGACATTTGCTATGAATTTAACTACAGACATTTGCGATGCATTTGACCAGACATTTGCGATGGATTTGACCTCAGACATTTGCGATGAATTTGACCTCAGACATTTGCGATGAATTTGACCATCAAAGAATTCATCAAATATATTCATCAATGTTTGATTTATAGTTGTGTTAGCATTTACTGTATACTAATGATCAATAGCACAAGCCAGACAGCTCTGTCCTGTGTTTGTTATTGAGCATGGCAGGAACTATTCATTTGAATATATAACACTGTGATATAATCAATATTGCCTGGCATTTTGCGACTAGATTTTACCATCGTTAAGCCAGACTTAGCTCCATCAAGTTCACTTTCCTCCAGTATACGACTCATTCCATCCACTTATATATGGATTGGAGTATTTATGGTTAAACTTTTATAAGGCTTCAAAAAACTTACACTGCCAAACAGTGTGACACATTGTGACTGTGTAATACATAATAAGGTATTAAAATATTTGGCAGATTTTTTTAGAATAAAAGGATTATTTTCTTTCTATTGAAATATTAACAAAACAAAAATGTTGTTTTCTTTAAAAGAAATAGTGTATTTGGTCAAAGTACCAGGACAATAAAATATCATTGGATAGAGGTGATGGTCTTACTGAACAGCAATAGATGTATATATGACTACAGAAGCATTTTACATGCTTCTGAACAGCATTAGATGTACGTGGGCTTATAACAGGGAATACAGAAGCATTTGTTAGTATGCTTCTGAACAGCAACAGATATGGATTGGCTTATTACACGGAATACACAAGAACTTGTTGGTATGCTTCCAAGCATCAACAGATATGGGTGGGCTTATTAACAGACATGGGCTTATTGCTAAATAAAAAAAAAGATAACTCTTTTAATATTATCTAGCTATTATGATATCAATTATGAAACATTCACTGGTAAATACTGCTTTACTGGTAAATACTGCTTTACTGGTAAATACTGCTTTACCAGTAACAACACATGTAGCCAATAACATCCCAATCTATCCTAGTAATATTCTGAAAAAGGGCCTACCAGAAAACATCGGAGGATATCTTAAGTACTTAAAAAAAATAAAATGTAAAGAAATTAAAAGTTTGAGAAGAAATACTGCATACCTACGAGTTAAAATCTGTCAAAATAAGCAAGGCAACATCTAATCTAAAATAGTGGGGTATTTCCATTTCTTGTAAAATCAAATATACCCGGTGTTTTGTGACATCCTCCTGATAACCTTTGTCCAAATTTGTCACATCCTAGTATATCAAACCCTGACAGAGTATAGAATAGAATATCAGAGGACAATGAAATATTACTTTCTGGCTTTTCCACTACAACAAATGTGGGTGAGCACATCACCCGACATGAACTGACCATGAATAAGAGCATGCATGCACTGTACAAATGTACATGTGTGGGATCCTAACCTCATGCATACTCAGCATGTCATGTATCATATTCTATGTGTACTTTACATGTATGTTTCTCACGAAGATGAAGTATAAACATATGGAACCTCTCTGACTACAATACACTGCTCTACTTAGTATACAAAATCAGGCCTTAATTCATTATCTTCTACCGCTGTTTCCTGTTTTCAAGGTAACACCATTACAGTATCCCTCTGTAGTAAGTTAATTCTGTGCTGAATCAGCATTTCTAGGACTTGATATATTTTATGTTTTTACCAGAGAAAGATAATAACTCCCCATTAGACTTATCTTCCTCTCTCCCCATTTTAGCCTCCATCTTTGTCTCTCCATCCCCTCCTAAACAAAAGATACTCAGTGCTATGTCCATCCCTTGTATAGACAACAGAACTAGCCTCCTATAACCCTCCGTCACTAATTTACTATTTTGATCTGGCACCTGACCTATCTATTCTCTGTAATAACACAGTAATAACAGGCTGGGGCTTGTAACACTATAGACTCTCAGCCATCCAAAATACCCTTACTGATGATGTGTATTTTTGTGGACAATTAATTGGCAGTTTTGTGAAAGGCCAAAACTTTAATCAACAACAGCTGTGTAAATTACCTGACAGCTCAAGGTAGCACTTTTGTTCATCAAGTCTACCCCATGGTCTTAGCCATAGTAAATATACATTTTTTTTTCACACCATGAGTTAATAACTAGAGCTCAGCTTTCCCCAGACTCTGCATCATAAGCCCTGTTTTGTAATACAATAGCTGTATTTATCCTGAAATACACCCCAGTGGCAAACAACTGTCTCGAATCAAGGAGGCGGGCTTATTACTGGACAATATACAGAACTCTCATTTCAACTATACCAGGCTCATAGCCAGATGAAAAAAACCTACCCAAAGAAACCAGTACACTAAAGGAAACCAGTAAAAAGCTCAGTATCTCTTGGGAAGCAGTAAAAAGCTCAGTATCTCTTGGGAACCAATACACAGCTCTGTATCTCTAGGGAACCAGTACACAGCTCTGTATCTCTAGGGAACCAGTACACAGCTCAGTATCTCTAGGAACCAGTACACAGCTCTGTATCTCTAGGGAACCAATACACAGCTCTGTATCTCTAGGGAACCAATACACAGCTCTGTATCTCTGGGGAACCAGTACACAGCTCTGTATCTCTAGGGAACCAATAAGCAGCTCAGTATCTCTAGGAACCAGTACACAGCTCTGTATCTCTAGGGAACCAGTACACAGCTCTGTATCTCTAGGGAACCAATACACAGCTCCATATCTCTGGGGAACCAGTACACAGCTCTGTATCTCTAGGGAACCAATAAGCAGCTCTGGATCTCTAGGGAACCAGTACATAGCTCTGTATCTCCAGGGAACCAATAAGCAGCTCTGTAGCTCTGTATATCTAGGGAACCGATAAACAGCTCTGCATTTCTTGGGAACCAATAAACAGCTCAGTATCTCTAGGGAACCAGTACACAGCTCAGTATCTCTAGGGAATCAGTACAAAGCTCTCTATCTCTAGGGAACCAGTACACAGCTCAGTATCTATAAAGAACCAATACACAGCTCAGTATCTCTTGTGAACCAATACAAAGCTCTGCATCTCTTAGGAAACCAGTAAAAATCTCAGATCTCTCTAAGGAAATCAATATATTAAATCAAAGCTTTAAAATAAATCCACTCATTTATGTATTACTATTTAATAAAATTATAAACTGATTCTATTTCAATGTCCTGTCATAGACTTATTCCTGACTTAAATGTGTTGGTATATATGGAAGTGAAAAATAGCAGTCTTACACAGTGCTTCATCCCAGCAGACTTATTATTAGTGTTTGACAAGAACTACTGCACATGTGGATATTATATCATTATTGTTATAAACACCGTCATAAAAATATCACATTACAGGTTTTATACACAAGGATCAGCCAACTCTAAGTTTTCTACTTACTATAAGACATGAAGCCTTTAAATATATGCCAATTGTGTCTCAATCTCAAACATGATGTTATGTGTTAAAGCATTACATCAGGCTGTGTAAAACAGAAAACTTCTTTGAAGTTGTTTTAAAATGTCCAAGACATTACAGTAACTTTGATCAACCAAATATTTATTTGTGATGTAACTATGAAGGTATTTATGATAATAACTACAAGTAACCTATAAAACCAGGGAAAGTGCCCCAGCCTCTGTTCACTGGTTATATGATACCTCTGTAGGCAATTTCTACATACACTATTGTAATTAAGGTTGTTACTATTATAATTTCACAGTATATAAGCACTGTATTCAACATTTTTTTCCTACACAACTTCTAAAAAATTCTTGTGCCGTGCATAACAATGTACTTGATAGCAAAAGGCATCATCAGAAATGTTCTATTCCACATAAAGTGCGGAACTCTTTTAGAAAAGTGGTCATTAGCAGGTAACATATAGCCTTAAATCTTGTATCATAATAACAGTGCCACAATTTTAATCCAAATAATCTCTTCTTTACCCTTAAAACAATAGAGTAGCATGTGTACTATATATCAATTGAAATCTATAAATCTATCTAAAAAATGTTAAAACCTGGCACAACAGCCTGGTGT